TTTTTTTTAATGCATCAACCAATTACTTCAATTTAGTTTTAACTAAGAATTCTTATTATTTAATATACATTCTTTCCTTATTTTTGGCAAGAAAATATTGATCTCAAAATAAGGTTAGAATTCTCATTTTAATTTTATTTATATTTATCTATTATTTCTTATATTATTCTTAACATTATTTCATAAATATATTGATTCTTTTTTTTATGTATAATTTAATTAACAGAAAAAATTATAAATATAATTCTCAATTTTATTGAATTTTTATATTTTTTTACAACCACCCAAATATAATCGACAGCCATTAGCTATCGAACATGCAACTATAATCTACAACTAAAGGTTGTCAATAATTTTTTTTTTTTGCTAAGTATAATTGACAGCCATTGGTTGTCGATTATAGTTACATATTCGATAGAAAATTTTTCTGTCGATTATAATAATTTTTTACTACAACTTTGGTTGTCGATTATGTCTGTCAATTATATTATAATCGACAGAAATCTTTCTATAATTGACAGTATTTACTATTGATTATACTCTGCTTTCTAGTAGTGAATATTTGCCAATTCCATGAATATGATGGCTCTATGAATATAGCGGTTCATAAATGTGGTGGTTCTATATGAATGTAGTGGTTCTATGAATGTAGTTTAATGAAACTCTAAATAAAGTCAATTGAATATAGAAGATGGGATATGATAGATGAAATGTACGTATAAGGTGAAATATCCATTCATTGTATAATTCATAATACCAAATAAATGTTAAAAATTAATTATCCATTTGAAGCAAAATTTTATTGTTCATACCTTAACTTTTTGTGATGTCTCAATTTTGTCCTAACTGTTTATTTGTCACAATTCAATCCCCAATAGGTGCTCATAACGTCTTGTGCAATGGCATTTTCTTAGGGATTAACATATTCTGATCCCTGTTGGTACTTATGGATGCGGCTTAGGACATTATGTTTAATTAGTTGATTGTTCTCCAAAAAAAGAAGACAAGTGCAAATCTTTCTAGCCTATGCAAATATAGTAATACAATAATACTTGTTCTTTCTTCTTCAATTGAAAATGTAAAGCTCCAAAATGATACATATTTTTTTACCGAATTTGTAGAAGAGTAGGGGAAGATGTTGGCTGGACTTGTCTATCCTGATGACAAAGGCTCGAGAAAATGGTTCTTTTGAAAATGTGTGACAATGAAACATTACAGACGAAATTAATTGAAGCATTATAAAACGGCTAAGGACAAAATAAAGCAGTTACCTTCTTTTAGTAATTCTTAATGTAGGAGTGCTTCTTTTTTTTTTTTTTTCTTGGAATAAGTACAATTGGGGGATGGGAATTGGGATTATCAAGGCTTGAATTTTGAACTTCTAAATGTTACTACACTTCTCAAAGGAGTCGTGACCATTGAGTCACAATAGTGGTTGGCAATGTAAGAGCGCTGTTAGTTAGCCTTTTAATGTAGAGAAATACTGAATCTGCTTAGAAACTACGTTCGATATAGTAAACTTTGGACTTCATCAGAACATGGCAACTTCTAACTTTCTAGTCATCAGTATTACCGCAAGGCCTTAGATTCTGTATACTACATTTTCTCATAAACTATGGATGAGAAAAATGAAAATTGTTTCGACAAATTA